GAGGAGAGGAGGAGAGGAGGGGAGGAGAGGAGGAGAGGAGAGGAGAGGAGAGGAGAGGAGAGGAGAGGAGAGGAGAGGAGAGGAGAGGAGAGGAACGCGGGGCACCGTCTCTTCAAAACGAGGACCCAACACCACAGGATGGTTGGGAAAAACAGTGCTTTCTAATTGAATTGCCCCCCTCGGGACTCGCATTTTCTGGGATATACACACATATATATATATACATATATATATATATACAAACAAAAAACAAGGAAACAATCGGGGGAGGCTTAGTGTCACCATGCTGTGATGTTGGGCCCCGAACTACAACAACAACCGCTCTCGCCTGATACTTCCCCACAGTTAACTTCGAAGTCGCTCTCGCCTGGGTCTTTCCAACAAGTTATGCAGGAATCGCGCTCTCTCGCGTGGGACTTGCCTTTTTTCAGACGCCGCGCCCTCGACACTCAGGAATCACGCTCTCGCTTTCTGGCCTTTCTCCCGATCTACTTGGGAATCGCGGTATCGTTCGAGCCCTCCTCGCGATCCACGCAGTATTCTCGCGCTTCGTCAACCCGCCTTCTTGATGTGGCCGCTTGGGCGCGCCTTCCCGACCCGCCTGTTGGGGTCTACCTGCCCGACCCGCTCCTCCGGTTCTGCCACGTGTCTTGTGCTCCTAGCCCCCTTCCTGAGAATCCCGTGCTCCATCCTCTTCCCTCCCCCTCCCATACTCACGCTTCCGCAGCCCGCCTGCTCGACCTGGCCGCTTTGGCCCGCCTTCCCGACCCGCCCGTCAGGGTCTACTTGCCCGATCAGCCCGTTTGGTTTAGCTCCTAGCCCTCCTCCTGCAAGTCCCGTGCTCCATCCTTCTCCGTGTCTCTTTTGTCCGTCCTCTCTTCCCTGCTTTAGGGGCTGCACTAAAGATATAACGCGCGAGTCCGCGCCGCGCCCAGCAGGAGACGCTCGTCGCCGCAGCGCGGGTTTCATCCAGAGGAACGAACGACGGCAGCACGCCAGGCACTTGGGGGGCCGGACGGACCCTGGCAGGCACTACCCGACAGCACTTCAATTGGACGGGTGGAGGAATACAGCGCAGTGGAAATGGTACCACCGCGGAATCGACGAGACGATCTCCCTGGACAGCACGGATGAACACTGGCACTCCTGGGCCACATATTACGGGAAGCGTGGCGACATCACAAATTCCACAGCTGGTTAGCCACGACGCGAAGCGACGCGCAGGCGTGCGGGACTGCCCAGTACGACGCGAAACGGCTCAATGCCGTCATCACCAGTGCGCAGGAGCACCCGTCTACTCTGGCGGTGCTCACGGGAGGCTTTGTGCCACTTGCTGTTTTCGAGCGGGGCCAAGGGAACGGCCCTTCGATGGAATGCCCACGGTGTGCAGGCGCTGTGCCAACGACGGACCACGTGGTGTGGGAGTGTCAAGGAGAGGCGTTCTGGGACTGGCTTTGCGCCCGCCCCAAGGACGCTCTCCAGAGACGCCTGGGCTGGCCCACGGGCGATTTACGACGGAAGGGAGTGGAACAGCGCTTGCTGTTGCGGGTGGCAGATTCCAGGACCGCAATATTGGATCACAGATACGGTGGGGCTTGTCACAGGTGTTGTGGTGCCCACGGGGACCTCTAGCCGCTATTTTGTTTCACAGGTACGGTGGTGCTCGTCGCGAGTATTTTCGTACTGACGGGGATCTCTTGCCGCTATTTTTTATCACAAGTGCGGTGGTGCTCGTCACGGGTATTCTTCGTACCGTAATGTTGGTTCACAGGTACGGTGGTGCTCATCGCAAAATTTCTTGTGCCGACGGTGACTTTTTACCGCGGCTGGTGCTCATCCCAGGCATTCTGACGCCAGAAGGTCCATCTTGTGCCGTTGGGGCCTCCTACCGCTAAGTAGATTCACAGGTACGGTGGCTGTTCACGTGTTTTTTTGGCTGACGTGGACTTGACCGCGGACTTGGGTTACAGATGCGGTGTTGTTGGCATTTGATTGCCCTCGATCACAAGTGTGGGTATGACGTGCGGCGGTGCTCGTCACATCTGTGTTTGCGCCCATTGAGGTTGTAACCCGCCATTCCTATCAGCCCCAAGTCACTTTGCTTGGGGCTTCCGTCAGGCGAGGTCGTCGTGAAGGCCTTCGTCTTTGCCGACGTACTTACTGCAAGGTTTCCAAACATGTACCAGGCACAGGCGCTGGGATGGGAATCCTGCTGATCTCCACGGTCCGCGAGGAGTGCCCGGAACGCATCATGGAGCCTTTCAGTATTATCCTCAGCCCAAAGAGTTTAGGATATTGTCGTGTAGCCGTACAACGCCGTCCATTCTTTCCACCAGCTCGTGGGGAACGCGGTCACATGTTGTTTTCTGTTGGCTAACGAGGCGCTTTAGGATATCTGTGTCCAGGCGTTGAAGCTGACGACTCCGACGTACGGGGGCCTGAACCACCTCGTGAGCGCGGCGATCAGTGGCGTGACCGCGTGCCTGCGTTTCCCTGGGCAGCTCAATTGTGTTTTGCGAAAAATTACCGTGGGTCAGATCCCGTTCCCGCGCCTGCACTTCTTCATGACGGAGCCGTGACAGTCCCTGAGCTGACCCAGCAAATGTTCGATGTCGTGCAGGTCAGCTCCCGTCGTATTCATTGCAGAAGTACTGCCCGCGATGGCAGATGTTCGATGCGAAAAACATGACGTTCGCGGCAGACCCGCGTCGCGGTCGCTACTTGACAGCCGCGGCGCTCTTTCGCGGTTGCATGTCCACGAAGGAAGTTGACCCGCAGGTGTTGAATGTGCACAATTGTAAGTCGTCGTACTTCGCCGAGTGATCCCGGACAACATCAAATCGTCAGTTTGCGACGCTGCCCGAAAGGATTGAAGATGGCGGTGGCCATTGCTGGCAATTCTACAGTCGGATCGGCACGGTGGCACCGGAGGGGGCAGAAAAAGACCAAAACAAGTAATAATAATGTTAATCGAAAGAAGAAGACACAGAAGCAGCACAGTAATAGGAATAATAATAATAATACGACGAATTATGATAACAAGAATAATGCGAATCATTATCCCAGTGCGACCCTACCTAGGAGTTGGAGCCCCTAGGAAAACAACATTAGTAGGAGCGGCAAACACCGTCCTTCTCCTTCACCTAATCGTCGTAGCTGCAGCAGTAGCGGTAGCGGTAGTAGTAGTAGTAGTAGTAGTAGTAGTAGTAGTAGTAGTAGTAGTAGTAGTAGTAGTAGTAGTGGTAGTAGTAGTAGTAGTAGTAGTAGTAGTAGTAGTAGTAGTGGTAGTGGTAGCGCCAGAACCGCCGACGCCACGCCGTAAGTGAAGCAGAGGCAGAAAAAAAAAACAGCAAGTCGCCGAGACAGCAGCAAAAGCAAGCAGGCACGGAGATGAGGGCGGGGCACTGGGGAGTTCTTTACATCTACATGTATATCTACACCTACATCTACATCGACACCTACATCTACATCTGGACCTACATCTACATCTACACCTACAGCTACATCTACATCTACACCTGCATCTACATCTACATCTACATCAACAGCGAGATCTACATCTACATTTACATCTACATCTACACCTACATCTACACCTACATCTACATCTACACCTACATCTACATCTACATCTACATGTACATCTTCATATATAGATACAGCAGCAGCAGCAATAGTGAATGCTGTGCTGCGCTATGCTATGCTCTATGCTATGCTATGCTGCGCAATGCTATGCTGGGCTAGGCTAGGCAAGGCTATGCTATGCTATGCTATGCTGCGCTATGCTATGCTGCGCTATGCTATGCTATGCTATGCTATGCTATGCTATGCTATGCTATGCTATGCTATGCTTTTGCTTTGCCTTCGCTTTTGCCTTCACTTTTGCCTTTGCTTTTGCTTTTGCTTGTCACCCAGGGAGCGCAACTGGGTGAACCGCGCGTTTGCTTTTACCTTTGCTGTTGCTTTTGCTTGGCTCCCAGGGGGCTGGGGGAACCGCCCGGGGCGGTTTGCACTGCCCGGCCCCTTTAAACCAAGCGAGTAAGAACCCTTCTAGGCAGAGCCTAGGTAGGGAATAGTTGTAATACGAATAATACATATAAGGGAAATTATCCCAGTGCGACCCTACCTAGGAGTTGGAGCCTCTAGGAAAGCAACATTAGAAGGAGCGGTAATCGCCGTCCTCCTCCTTCTCCTCATCGTCGTAGTTGTAGCAGTAGCGGTAGTAGTAGTAGTAGTAGTAGTAGTAGTAGTAGTAGTAGTAGTAGTAGTAGTCGTAGTCGTAGTCGTAGTCGTAGTCGTAGTCGTAGTCGTAGTCGTAGTCGTAGTCGTAGTCGTAGTAGTAGTAGTAGTAGTAGTAGTAGTAGTAGTAGTAGTAGTAGTCGGGTTTCATGTCTCCTGGCCGGTGCTATGTGCGAAACCTTCGTGAATCCTAAGGACTCAAGCTGCCCCACTAAGGGCTCAAGCTGGCCCACAGACGGACAACATGCATGGAACATACGTGCGCACACACATATAAGTTCATGTATATTTGTATAGCAGCAGCAATCGTGGATGCTGTTCTGCGCTATGCTATGCTAATGCTATGCTCTGCTCTGCTATGCTATGCTGCGCAATGCTATGCTGGGCTAGGCTAGTCTGTGCTAGGCTAGGCTATGCCATAATAAGAATACTGATATTCATAAGAGGAGCAATACTACTACCAATCATAATGATAATGATAATAACGATAATCATAATGATACGAATAATGGTAATCATGACAATGATAATAATTTCAATAAGAAGAATGTACATACTAACAAGAAGGACAACCATAACAAACATACTCACACTAATCAAGCATAGTGATATGAAACATGAGAGTAATACTAACAATAATAATACTCATAGTAATAATAGTACAATAATAATAACAATAATACTAATAATGCTAATAATAATACCAATATTAATACTACTAATAATAATAATGATCATAATAACAATAAAAATAATAATGATGATAATAATAATGATAATAATAATGATAATAATAATACAACAAGAACAATAATATTAAAAACAAGAGGAAGAAGAAAGAAGGACCTGGCCGCGGCGGCGCGCTAGGCGGGCGATGATGATAAGAGGAGGCGGAAACTGGAGCCAGAGGAGCTGGGCCGCGGGGGCCACCCGGCGACGACGGCGTCCAGACCGAAAATGGAGGTGGAGGAGGACGACTGGTTGCCGCCCCCGGCGGGCGACTCCGACGGCGAGGAGATGGAGCTGAGTGGCGAGGTGCTCGGCCTGCGCTTCGAGGAGCCCTTCGAGCAGATGGTGCAAGTCCTGGTGAAGGCCCAGGCTCTGGAGAAGAGGACGGCTCGGCAGAGGTTCCCAGCTTTGCCGCAGTGGATGTTCACCGGCGATGGGCAGCTCATGGGTGCTGTACCCGAGTGGAGTCACATGGAGGGTGTGTGGTCTGTCCGGCTGGGCTCCCGCATGCTGACGAAACTGCATCGGGCTGCGTACGTGTAGACTTTCAGGGAGATCGCGACGAAGCCGTTCTGGTTCCCAGGAGCGGCAGGGCCAGAGGCGCGGGGCTCCACGTCTTCGATCCAATGGTGGGCAGCACGATGATCTCGTGCATGCCGAAGTAACTGTTCATTTTGTTCGGTGTCTACAGAGGCAGGCGGCCGACAGAGTGGTCAGTGAGGAAGTGGCCACTGTGGGGCTGGTCATCTTCTGCATCGTGATGCTACTCGGAGCTGTCAGTGCGCCCCGGTGCTGTGCCAGTTCCTTATCCGTCTGAGTTCTCGGCTTCGCAGCTCGGCGCTCGCGTTGGTTCCAGGGCATGTGCCCCAATTTCGTGCCAGTCGCTATCCAAGAAATGTTTCAGCGTGAAGCAGGATGTTTCACTGCCATGTTCCGGCGCAAGGCGATCCTTCATTGGTACACATGGGAGGTCATGGACGAGATGGAGTTCACCGAGGCCGAGAGTAATATGAACGACGTGGTTTCCGAGTGCCAGCAGTGCCAGGACGCCGCCGCCGAAGAGGATGGCGAGCAGTGATGGCGTCACTGTCTCGCTGTGGCCAGCCTCCGAGGTCGGGCAACGGATGTGTGAGCAAATCAGTGCTGATGAGCCGTCGGCCAAGTGCATGTCTATGCATGTTAAGTCGCCGTTTCCCCGCTCGCCGCGAGAATTCGCCTGGAGCTCGGACGGCCAGACTGCTGGACGGTCTTCCCCATATACGAACAAAAGAGGCGACGTTCGCATGCGGCACCCGGGCCTGTGTCGGCACAAACCTCGCGCGTTTCATGGTCCCATAGGGAATTCCACCTGAATCCCCAACAGCACAGCTTGCATGCGCTCCCCATTATTACTAGTACGGTTCACCTCTCACGCGTTTCGTGCCCCAGGGGGAGCTCCACCGAAAGCCTTTCTCACGACGCGGAACTCACAACTGCAGATGGTTGGGTCCTTCGCCAAGATTTTTTCTTATGTTGTCGGAAGGAGGGTGGGAATGGGTGGGGCCCAATGATTCTCCCGAGCTGCCAATCTTGACTTCTACTCGTACTCTTGCCTTCGTTCCTGCCATTCCTCCTTGCGTCATGCTCCACTTTCCTCTCCCCCTGTCTGCGTCACCCTATCTTTCTATCGACGCTCACTTCTGTCCTTTGGGCCTGTGTGGGGCGTGGGGGGGGGGGGCTGGTTGCCTTGGGCATTTTCCTTTCCCCTGCTCCTACCCGAAGGACAACAGGGGCTTCCGGTCGCCCAGCAAGAGCCAGAGCCCAGCCAAGTACCTCTACCCAGAGGAGTTTGCGAAGCGCGGCGCCCTGCAGGAGAGCCGGGCTCGGGGCTGTGCACAGACAGCCGCAGGAGGTAGCCCCCACTGGCCTCAACAAGCTCCCCGAGAAGTCCAGGGCAGTCAAGAGTCAGGCCCGTCTCCGCCGGCGCCTCTTAGGGCGCTCCGCGCCACGGGTTTTGGTGAATTGAAGCCTCGCTGGGCCGCACCACAACCAGGACATGGAGGAGGAAGGGGGAGGGATAATGATGGGGGTTGCAGTGGAGGGGCAGGGGCCTGGAAGGGCCGGGGGGCTTGGACGGCAGGGGAGGGGGACTGGCAGGGGTCTGCACAGGCAGCGCGAAGAGAAGCCACGCCGACCCCCCTTCGCAACTTTCTCTCGCTCTGGCGCGGGCGGAGTCCCGTGCCGGTTGAGGCCAGCCGCGATTATTTCCTGGGGCTTCTTGTGCGCAGCCCCAAGCCTTGCCGCCGCAGGAGCAGCGGCGGTCGCCTTCCTATTCCCCCAGGCCGGGAGGCGTTGCCGGCCACGGCGCCCGCGAGCACCAGTGGCGGTGCAGCCAAGGGGGGCGCGGTCGCATGGCCGGGCACGTTTTTTTGGACATCGTGTTTGGCAGAAAGGGGCAGGGAGGAGGAGGATGAGGAGGAGGAGCAGGAGGAGGAGGAGGAGGAGGAGGAGGAGGATGAGGAGGATGAGGATGAGGAGGAAGATGAGGAACAGGAGGAGTAGGAACACCACGATTACATATGCAAGCTGCCCACCTAGCCTTTTCTCGATGCTGGCACAGGCGCACATGGATACCCGGTTTACTGCGAGGATATGTCCCAAGGTGCAAGGGCGACTTTTGGATCTTGACTACATGCCAGCCTCGCCGATATCATTTTCGCCACATTTCTTACCACCATGTGTGGCCATATGATAATGGAAGGCTTGTTTATGGGCGTGTTCATTTTTTTGATTGTATGTCATTTTCCCTGGGCATCACCAACTGGAGCTGGAGACGCCATACGATGCCACATATTCAGACGAGACATGTTTTGTATTGTGATCGGCGACGGCAATCCATACCGGATTACGGCAGAATGCTCTCACATCGAGCCATGATGTCGGCATATCGCAAGTCTTCATTTGTATACAAGGCCGCAGCGCAGCAGCAATAATTTGGTCCTGTTGCGCACGGGACGGGGAGGTCTTCCTCGACAGCATCGAGAAGCCAAGCCAGAGGTCGAGCACCGACAGGTCCAGACATCCCTGGCCGCGGCGCCGCTACGCTAGGGCTGAGGCTTGGATATGCAATACTTCGTTCAGCTAGCCCATGCGTTGGCCCTCTCTAGATTCAATACGATGGCGAAGAATGGACTGGCCAGACCGTCAAAAACAAAACTACATTACATTGCGCGTGCACGAACCTGTACAAGGCAGCCGCGAAAGTGCGCGATCACGCGACCAGCAATATCGCGGACAAGCATGTGCTCGATAATGCCGACCGGCTGGTTTTGGAACCGCGCTTCTGAGTCAAACTGCGCTAGCACGCGAGGCAAAGGGATCCAGACAACCGCTGTACCTACCGTGCATGTCATTCCTCTGCGGAGGAAGCTGGATGCATACGCTCTCCGATGACTTCATGTATGATCGGAGTTCCACGATCCAGCGAACACCAGACACACGAACGGAACGGAAACATGAGCATTTTTATGAATCAACGAATTTACCTAGGCTTGCAGCTATATGAGACCCTATGGACGTCTGCTCCACAATGTTTCCAGAAAATCATATTGCACGCCCGCTCAGAACTAACTCGACTACACAAATGCATCGAACACGGATTCTGTAAGGTATGCGCAATGAGTTCGCATACCAGACCAAGGCTCAGCATCTCCCCGCGTTCGGGAAACAACGATGTGCGCAACGGGTGCGTCTTCACAAGCGCCATATTACCTCTGTGCAGAATCGCGAATCCAGACGAGACTAACAAACAGCAAAGCACATGCTGACCACATGAAGTATATGCCGAGGCGGAATGGGGAGATCGTAGAAGAACGCACCGGCAGAACCAGTGCCAGTGAGCATGAGGATCAAAGCGGCGCGCGCGTCACGAAGGTGACAAGACGATGCTCTGCTGCCACACTCAACTCCCTGCGCCCCCTTTCTCGGGCACTTATATACCATCCTTTGAGCTGATACGTTGGCTCGACGGATGTTGCATTTTCCAGGTGACTGGCCTGAGCCAGCGAGCGAGGTACACCAGGGCAACCTACTGCAGCCGTAAGTGTAGCAGCAAACAATGTCTGATTGCGTTTGTGTGCGTAGGCAGTGGTTGCACGCGCGGTCGCCTGCGGGATCTGGTCGAGTGCCAGGTGGAGTCGCTTGCGCACCAGAGGGCGGTGCACTGAGACCCTGCGAGGCGCGCCCGCTTCTCGGTCTCCAAATGGCGCAATAGCTGCGAGCAAAAGAGCGCAGATGCCAGTTCGCAGTGAGTTGCTGCGGGTGGTGCTGGAGGCACTCTCAGAAGTGGTGCAGCTTGCAATACATGCGACTGTGGAACACCAGGCAACGCTTACCTGGATACTTATAGGTGCGTCAACTTGGAAGTTATTCGAGACACGGGAGCTCGTGCGCAGCTCGCGCATTTGCGCGATCAGTTTTGCCCAGGTCAATGCGGGGCCCGAAGTAGGGGGCCGAGGACGTTGCCATGCGTGCAAATCCCTGCACACCATGCGATTGGGTGAGAATTGATAGGCCAGGCGTACAGTAGCGACCATTCTGGACATGCTATGTCTATTGATTGCAATGGGGGCGCCCGCAACTTCAGGACGTCCCCGCAAAAGGAGTATCCGCGCTAGCTCTGCCCTTTGCGGGGCATCTGTTCAGTTATATTTGGGCTTTTGGGCGCGTCTGGAAGTCAGCGTCCCAAATTCGCTAAGGTCCCCGAGTCTGTTTGGGGGGGCATCTCCACACTTGGTGCAGTGATAGAGGCTTAGCAATGCCGAGATCAGGGAGGGGGGGCCCTGCGCGCGTTCCGATTTTGGCAGTGGCGCTCCCAGTGCGCTGGTGGCCCTGGCCCAAGTGGCAGGATCGCTCGGTCGTGCCCCCCCGGAAGAATGGCCTGAGCCGCCGCGCCGCAACTCGCGACGTGCTCCAGCGCCATGGCGAGGCCGCGCGCCGTCGCCATCGAAGAGCATGCCAACGCCCAGCGCAGTTCATTTGCCCTAGTGATATGATCTTGGACACCATGCGTTGTAAGAAACGCGAAACTGATCGGGCGCGTGGATGCAGAGAGGGTCGACACGGCTGCCGCGCCTCTGAGTCTGGCTCGATGCGAATTGCCCTGGGCGCGCCGACGCCAGCGCAATTCGTTATATGAGCGACAGCATCGCTACTCGTGCAACTGCCGCGCCGTTGTCGTCGACGCCCCATGTTTGCAGGGCCCTCGTCGAAGTTTGGCTCTTACTGCTATTCGCGCGTGGGCGTGCGCCCCAGAGAGCTGGGCCGTTAGTATTCTGCCGGGCCTGCTCAAAGTGCTCGCGGTGGCGTAGCGGTGTTTCGCAGGAGCCGGCGCCCGCGTCGGCGGGGATAGTGTGCCGTGCTTTTTCTGCCGCAAGTTCATGGAGACCGCCTGGTGCGAAATGTGACAGGCGTCGTCGGGTCCACCCAGGGTGGCCGTCGCCGCCGTGCAGCCCGAGGTCGCGGTGTAGTCGGAGGAACTTCGCCAGGTGGGCCCCCCCGCCCTTTGTCGTCTGATCCCGTCGTGCATCCTGGGAGGTCGGGGGGCATTCGCGGTGCGTGAGTTTTGATAGTTGCGAATATGTACGGGGTGCCTGTTGCGCGCGGTGTCCAGTTGCGATCGCAAATCCATCTTGGCTTACTGCTGTCGCATGGCCTGCTTCTTAATCGGTGCGACTCGCGGTCGATGCATCGGGCCCTTGGGAGGACATGCCCGGTCTCGCGCTGGTTTCTTCTCCTCTGCCCGCAGGCTTGGGCGTTGCTTTCGGTGCGCCAGCGGGTCGCTTGCGCTCGGCGGCGATGCAACTCGCTTTGCTATTTCTGCGATGCGCCATTCGGAGGGGCGGGCGCTATCGTCGTGCTGGGATGCGCCGCGACCGCAGGGCATTCGCCGACGACGCGGGTGCTCGGTTACCTCGCAATGCCGCGCGGCCGGGCAGCGTGGAGGTCGACGCCGACGAGGGCGGCAACCGATGCCCCCGCTTGTCCGTCAGACGCAATGCCATCAGTCTCAACCTGCTTCCTACGCCGTGCTACTACCAGGTGGTCATGAGTGCCCGTGTGCGCCGTGCTAACACCTCGCGCCTCGTAGCGTTTGCACACCACGTACTATGTCATTCATCACTCTTGGGAAGCGCAGTGTTGGCCGACGTGGGTCCTGCCGTGCCTGCGCTCGGCGGTGGTCTGGGCGAATTGGCAGTTTTTCTTTGGCGCGCCTTCCTCTGTGCAGTATACAACATCGGGGCCCTATTGCATTTGCTCCAACCGCCAATCCGCGCTATTCGCTGCGCGTCTTTCCCTCGATCCGCCGCCGACCTCGCGTGTGCTTCAGCATCTGCCGCAGCTGCGCCGTCGAGCGCGCCGAGTCTTTGGCGCGGGTTTCAACGTCATATCTTGGCCTGCGCGACTTGTCGCTACTGACGTGGCCAGTACTTCTGTGCGGCAGTTCTACGCGTTTGCAGTCGGAGTCTGGATCGTTTCGCGTCTTGGCTAGAGAAAGTGAGGCCAAATTACGATGGGCATCTTAATGGGTAAGAGCGATGCCGTCTCGAGACGCGTGCGCGTGGCGGATGCGAAGGACGTGATGTGCCGCCAAACCAAAGGCCCGTGCAATTGTGCGACCACAATGTACAAGGCCACGATCGACGGTGGCACGTCGCCCCACCCTGATGCTTGACCAGGCTCTAACCATGATGCCACCGCGGGACGGCGGCGACTTGTGCGGATATGGAATGGCCGGTACGTTTCCAGTGTATGTGAATCAGTCATCATGCGCTGAACTTGTGGCTCGCGTTGGGCGCGGGGGACTTCGCGTAGAACGTGGGGGGAAGGCTTTCCGTGGGCCCGCCCCGAGTCCATTCCCTAGTCCCGCCGTAGCCCCGCCCGTAGGCCTAACTCAGATTTCCCTTCGGCCCCCCAGGGATCTCTCCCAAGCGCTTCTTTGGTCTGCTCAAGGCCCAGTCCCCGTTCCCTTTGGCATGGCCTCCATTTGCCTCCGAGTTTCTCGGCTGTTGCCCTGCCTTTCCCTTCGCCCGCCCCCGGGCCTGCCCCCTGGGCCTGCGGGCTCGCCCCTGGGCCATCCCCCGCCCCCTTTCCCGCCCGCCCGACCTGCGTGTTAGCCCGCCCCAGTCCGATGCGCGGTCCTCTTCGACGTCGCCCCGCACTTGCGCGCCCCGCGCGCCCGGCCCGGCCAGTATGTCCATGGGCCAGGTCAGGGCGCCCCCCCAGTGCCACTCCAGGCTTATCTGTAGGCCCCGCCCCCGGGCCTCTAACATTGGCGCGCCCCGTTCCGACGCGCCGACGCCTCGGCCTTTTCCCCCTGCTCCCGCGCGCCAGGACCGCGCGGCCAGGCCCGCGCGCCTGGCCGATCCGCCCGTCCGATCTGCGGTCGAATTCGACGGGGCCCCGCAGCTTTGATCTCCGCCCGCCAGACCCAACCCGCGTGTGGGGGCCCGCCTGTCCTACTTGACCTGCCTGTAAATGGCCGCCCGCTGCGT